AAAAGTATTAGGAAAAAGGCATTAATGTAAATGTACTGTTGTCCGACCAGAAAAACTTTGAAATATTTCTTTCTTTCTTTCTTTCATGTGATATGTTGAAAATTGTGGCCTTAACTGTGCCCACCAGTCACAACCAGCCTTCAAGGAGAGCTTGGCTTTGCTTTTGTGGAATCGCCATTTTGACAATTATCTTCAATTAGAAGGAAGAAAAGTTGGTGTGGAACAGAATTGCATTTCCCAACAGCAGATTTGAACTTTCAACAAAGTCCTATGAGGAAAAAAGTTTTTAAAATAACACTTCTACTTCCATCAGCCTTTACCTGCATCTCCTGATCTAGAAGTCAGCAGGGGTTTTTCCTTTGAACCCAGCCTTCATCACAGTAGCTGGACCAAACCATCTTCAGTCTACTTGCTCCAGAAGAGTTCTCCTGGTTTCTCCCCTGAGGGATATGAAATCGATCCTGGAAGCTGAAACCCTTGGACACAAAGAAATCCTCTGAGTTGTGCTGGCTGTACAGATTCATACTGCATGTGCCTTTTATGCTGCACAAGTCTTCTTGTGTGTTTATTCAGTGTTTCAGCTGGGAGGACTTGCACAGCTTGCAATTTACCACAGTTCATGCAAACACAGCATAAAAATCTGAAGGGTGTTAATTACCATTTAAAAATCCTTCTACAGAGCTTCAAGACACTGGAAATACTGTCTGCTGGATACATAACTTATTCTCCTTCAAGAATTGTTCTTGTGTCTACTCTACTGCTGCCAGGGCAGGGCAATAGCTGAACCCACTCCAGGGTACATCAGGCAACACTATTCAGAACCTTGCATTTCAGGTTCCACTAACACCACAAGAGATTGTCTTTGAGAGCAGCAGAAAAACTTCATTATTGCCAGAGTACGGAGAGAGAATAGAAGTTCTCAAGAATTTGGTTAGAAAGAAAAGCTGCAGAAGTGCATGGAGGGCTCAGTAAGTGATGGAGAGAAGGATGTATGTGTTCCCTTAGCACTTGCAGCTAACTGCATGCTCCCACGGCTGTAACATGCACTTTTGCAGTACAAGCACATCTGGGAGAAAAGAAAACCCAAGGCACACCTAATAAGGGCAAAATCTGCTATTAAGGCATCCAAAGGAATATCATCTTGCATCTCAAAGCCCCAAGGCTCACATTCACCACCTTCTTTGACTTCAAACAAGGACTCAGTCTCTCCAGAGCTGTCACGTCTGTCAGTATCCAGTGTAACAATGCCAGGTGGTACAGCTCCTGGCTTTGCTGAAACACCAAGCCATGGAGTTGGAAAAGGAGGTCAGAAAGAAGCCAGAGGGCTCTAAGATGACAGATTAAACTTGCAATACCATTTTACGAATACCAGAAACTTCTGGTCCACACCAGGACTGCCAAGATGAGACAGAACAGATCCCGTCTGTTTGACCTGCACTAATGCTACCAATTGTTAAGGCTGCAGGGAAGTTGAACAGCTGAAAGCTCACAAGAGAAGAAAAGCATATCAGGGAGGTTTGGCTTTCCCATCTCTGCAGTAGAGAAAGTGTGAGGGGGTCTCACCCACAGGCCTCAGTCAGCTAAAGAGCTGCTGGCAGCACAACAGGTGACAAATACAAACCAGCATCACATCTTCACACAGCAGAGTAAATCCTGTTTCTCTCCACATGTTGGTAACATAACTTACAGCATTAACACAAAAACACTAGGCGTTATATTTGGACAAAAATATATTGGACAAAAAGTCCAATTCAGCATTTTAACTCAGCCTTCTGCTTGATGTGCTCCTGATGTATTGCAGACCCTGAATCTAAAGCTGCCAAAACCCAACTCCAACACTTGATCCCGTGTGCCATCACCACATGTGGTAGCAACAGATTTAAGACAATTTGAAAATTGTTTATCTAGCCATGGTTTGTCTGCTGTGAAAAACACACAGTCCAAGAGAACTCCTGCAGGAGCTGTGGCACGGCACATTGTCTTAGTGCCTGTCAGCACACACCCAGAAATCTGAGGAAAGTTTTCACCAGGGTTTTAAATTATGTGAATGAAGATCAGGCTCTCAAACATTCATCACAGTCTAGAAAGTCATCAACTTGCAAGCTATCAGACTCCCAGTTTGAAATCAGGATAAATTCATGCCAGTTTCTTTGCAAAATGGGGAAATTAAGTGACTGCATATGAAATAAATCTGTGCCCATTTAGGGGAAGTTCTTGAGGCAGTTAATGAATATAATTTAACCTGCAGACTATACATACATGCAGGAAAAAACTGTTAAAATACCTGCGAGTGTTAGTTAGAATGACCTTTAACTAGCAGAAACCTATTTTGAAGTGCAAATACCCACTCCAACCCTTCTCAAAACTACATAGACACAAGTATTAAATACTGATGAAGTGAGCAGCAAACTGCCTGGTCAGCGATGTTATTAAGGACGTTAAGGCATGAAGAATAAGAAGTATTGAACAGAAGAGCAGGAGTCTCCAGAACTGACCAGAGGTGCAGCAGTCAGAACTGAAATAGTTCCTCTTGCTCCAGAAATGCTGATGTTCTCTCAGTGTGCTGAAAGAACTCCTCTTCCCAAAGAAAAGCAGCCTTGTGGCAGGTCTGCAGGTGGGGCTGGGTAGAGCCAGAGGAGGTGGCTGCAGGTGCCTGAAGGGAGCATTTCCTCTGAGGTAACTTTGTCACCATTTCTACACCCTAGAAGGCAGCTGTAGTGGCCAACTTGGGTGTGATGCACTGGGAAAAAGCCAAAGGCACAGACAATGAGCGTCAAGGTGAGGAGTGAGAAAAGAATGCAACTCTGAACAATTATCAAACGCAACAATCCTCACCAAAGAAAGCTGTCAGTGCCTAGGGCAGGAACTGCAGGCTCACTGCTGAAGACTGAATAGCTTACTTCCCAGTAAAGCAATACCCAGCCCTGACATTCCCTCACCATCCTGGTCTGTGCAAGGACTCTGCAGATTGCTGGCACCAAGGAAGAGTGAGGCCAGTTTCCTTTGGGCTTCTTGGAGGAAGCAGCAAGTGAGCAAGGATGCAGACAGCTCCTACAGGATCATTTCAGCCTCCCTTGCCTGTCCTGCATGTCCCCGTTTGCAGCCAGAAGAGATGCAGCTGAAAGAGATGTCTCAAGCCACCCAGCAGGCAGGCCATTGCCACAGATTAGTATTCAGCTTTGGCAGGAGAGTTGTGCAACACCACCCTGAACCAACCTACTTTCTTAAGGCCTCCAGCAAATAAGGAAGGAAAAGAAAGCCTGAGCTACAAAAATAACATAGAAAAATGTCAGCATAGAAACAAACTGAACTGGCTTTCACTAAACACTAAAGCTTTAATCAATGTTTAATTTAAATAGAAAAGGCTCATACATAACAAAAGGTTTCATAATACTTACAGCTGTCAAAGAAATTTTGAATAATCTGAAATTTATTTTTCTTTAATCAAGCATAAATGAAGACTTTTGGTTTCAGAAAAGCAAGAACAGTTTGAGGATATAAGTACACTTCAGTTTGCATGGACTCCAGAGCAGGACAATCAGGCAAATATTTATTCTAACATTTGTTACACAGCATGATACAAACAATCAGGTTAGTGTAACCTCTCTTCAGTATTTAACAGTCATTGAAATTAGAGTTAGAATTTTAATAACAAAATTATTAAAATGTTAGATAATAGGGAAAGAGTGCAATCAATATTTGGAAAGCATTTTACAAAACTTCTTAAATATTTATTGACAAAATTGACAAGTTATTTTCTTCTATGATTTCTGTAATGAAAATATTTATCACATTAACCAAAAATTCTACATAAAAATACTGTGTATGTGATAAAAATACTTTTGGTATTTTACTGTCTTTGGTTAGGTACACTTTACAGAAATCAAAAGATCAGCATCATATAATGAAAAGAGGATGAGCATCTTGCACATCATTCCATATTAAAAAAAAAATCTAATTTTGGTTTGAGGATAGAAAACCAAGAATAATATAAAACACGAGTCTGCCAAGGGTATCTTCTACCCACTGTGGACCATATTATTATACTTGGGGGCTCCCCAATTCCCCTGGTGCTGCTGCTTGCCTATTACATGCTGCATTTTGACATTCTTCATCCAACAACAAGCAGCTTCAGTAACTCTCCTGCAAAATAGCAGTCTGCCAACAGTGCTGTCCAAGAGCAACACCCAGAGGCTAAATATACTGCTACAGCAACACTGCACACTCTGACCTGTTCCTTCCTGAGAAGAAAGGAAACCTTCATAAAGATAAACAACAATTTCCTGTACAGATAAAGAGCTGACAAAATTTTTCAATAGAAATATCAACAGCCAAGTATTGCAGCCAAACAAAGACATTCATGAAAATCACACCCTCATACCTACTGCAAAAAACCCATTTAGTAACAGTGATACATGCACACAGAGCAAGTAAATAGTAGGTTTTGCAAAGCTGTGTGTAGAATATTTTGCAGCAAAGGAGCAACTAGAAGAATGGCTGCTCTCTAGAAAGTCAATTGCATTTTTCACAGGCAAAAAGTCAGAAAAGAGGAAGGGTGCTCACCATTTCTTTTACCAGTTTTCAAAGCAGAATGTTGGGGTGTTTACTTAAATCCTGAAGGCAGTTACTGTAAGAACAATTGGTCTATGCAATAAAAAACAAATCTTCAGCAAAAAAAAAAAATCTTAGAACGTCTTTAAGAGGAATATGTTATCTGGATTTAGAGCATGAAGAGGGATAGAAAACTCAATAAAAACCAACTCACTAAAGTTTCATCTTAAAGACCTCTGGCATTTAACAGGACTGGTCTCTGTAAATTTAAAGCCTACATATGAGTAAAGAAGAAGGCTGGCAAACCAAGAATACAACCAGTAAAATCACACTTATAACTCCAAATACTTAATTAGAATAAAACCTATTGAAAAGAAAACACAGTGAAGACTGTATAATCTCAAAAAATGAATGCACCTACCAAACCTTGTATACTTTGATATTTCAGATCAGGTCAATGATTTCAAATCAGAAGTTTCAAACACTTTATGGAAAAGTTTTCCTCTATTGAGTAGGGTTTGCTCCATTCTCCATGGTTAATCACTTTTTTTTCAATGTGTTGTCTCAGATTTTGTTTTTTATGCAGCTCATACTCTTCACCTGGGTGCAGTGAAACTGGAATCACATCAACTGTGAGGAAGCAATCATTCCTCAACACCTGCTCAGGCATCAGTCTGTTACAGCAGAACAAATTCAGGAGAAGAGATTTAACTTTATCATCCTACAAACAGAGGGAGAAGGATTTCATCAGTAAGCAACACAAACTCGATTAGAAATAACAACCAAGCATTTGATGAACACATCTTGTGAGTTCTTAGGTCCTAAAGCCTTCTAAAGATGTGGTACCATAGCATTCCCAATGGACAGCAACAAATAACATCATAGTGCTCATTAACAACAAAAGTCAAGCAAATGTTCAGCGCCAGGTCTGTCAACCCAGTGCCAACCAGAAGAATGTGAGGTTTTGAAATGTTGAAATATGAATTCACTGAACTACCATAAATTACAGAAATACTCAAGTTGGTCTTTCCATTGAGAACAAATGAAACCGGTGCCATTCACCTTCTATAACTTTATCAGTTAACTTTTGTCATATTGTTTTATCTCTCTACAAGAGCAAAGGAGGAGAACACAAAGTAATGGACTATAAATCAACAGCAGCTATTTTGCCATCACTTACACTTAGGCTCTTTGGATTTATCAGGAGGGATTACAGGCCTAAATGCTTTTCACATTAGCAGCACTGGACTCCATACACAAAACATAAATCCACAGCTCTACACATATGCATAAATACCAGCTGTAAGCAGGAGGAGCACATACTGGATTTGGGTAAGGGGACTACAAGAAAGACGATCTCAAATGCTGAGCTAGAAATCTAGATTACCAAAACTCAACAGGAACAGAATTTTGACACAGGAAGGTTTGCTTGTTTACAGTCTCCAAGCCAGGAACTCTTCTGATCTGGGTCAATATTAACAGCAAAATACACGATAACTGTATATCTTTCAGCTATCCCTATTTCACCCAGAGAGGATATGGGATGTCAGGGATTGTACACAAGTTGTCAAAAACTTGAAGACAGAAACAAGCCATTTCCAACTCTTGCAGTAATTATCAGAGTGGCTCCAGAGAATTAGTCACTTCCCAAGAAACCTGAAATCTGGGTTAAAAGATGAGATCTGAAAACTGTGGATCTTGCAGGCATAAAGGATTGTTCAATATTTATAAAATATTTTAAATACTAGAAGGAAAATCTCTACTAAGAGGATCCAAATGCATGCAAAGAAATGCAGGAGTGAACCATGATTACACACTTAAAATTAAAATGAAAGAAATCTGAGCATTTGAAGAGCTTGAAAAGCTTTGTACTTGAGTATTTGTATTTCAAGATACTGTCAAATGTCTGTCAACAACAAATATCCCCTTCTCACACCAAGGAAACTGAAAATTGATTCCACAAGGAATACGACTGTAGGACAACATTTCATCTTGTTTACTCCATTTCTTTGTGTTTGATCTTACTTGCTTTTTTTATCTTTTGTAATACACAAAACTGCATGTTGAGACAGACTGAACACTGAATCTTGGTGTAGTTAAATGAGTGGCTGCAAGATCTTACTGCTAAACATTGCTCTTGCTACACAGTTACCTAACATTAATGTCCCTGTTTTAAAGCCTTACATTATTTTCCTGTGGCAATTTTACATTTGCTGAAAATAACAAAAATTTTACTGGTTACAAGTGTGCAATTCCTCTGGGCACGAGATTGAGATGGAGGGAAATTACCAGTCTGTCAGGAGCCTGCAGATGGGCATGGAGATTAATTCTGACTAAGCTGATTATAGATAAAGCACTTTGAAGCAAAATAGATTTTCCCCAAGAAGTGGGACAAGGATTAACAGCCAGAGGTCTAAAAGACTCCCCATGAAACAGCTGAAAGATATTTATTAGTATTACAGTTCTTAGTAAAACTCTCATCTGTATTTCTGCACTCTGCAGGCAGCACAGATTGCTTTCTGGTGAACTTTAGTGGTTGGGGCACGTGCATGTACACACATCCAGAATGAATCCTTAAAAACTGCCAGCAGTGCTATGTTGATTAGGATTGTATCACCTTACACAGTCAAAATCAAATGCTTCCTTTCATCAGGTAAAATAAGTCAAAGAAATTTGCTCTTATTAATAGCTGTAAAACATCTTAATCCCTGCTAAAATCAATACCAGCTAAATTCATTAATTATGAAAATTAACTGTGAGAAAAGAGCAGCTCTTTGCACTTCAGAGGGTACCTGTGACAGAGGAACACAGAAGCATAATACCCTGAAACTGGCCATTAAAATTTTTATTTGTGTACTTATTTATAGAACATTATCACAGCAGAAATTTTATGGAAAGCAGAAGTGAAGCAACTTATTTCAATGTCTCAAGTAATCTTTTCTACATCCTTGAAGTAGAAGTTTTCCTTACCCATGAGAGAAAGTTAGGGGGTTTTAGTATCTAAAGACTATTATGAACAGTCCTGAATGCTGCTCTGGGCAGAGGTTCTGTACAAGTTTTGTGAAATACATTTAAAGTCCCCTAGTTGGTCCTAATGTTCAGTCATGAAGTACTGAATCTTCTTTCCTATAGTACTGTGTGTTTCATGAGTTTCACTTAATTTTTAGTAAAAAAATCCATCAACTATAATGAGCAATAAGGTACATTATTTACAGGATAACCTCCCTGCTCAAATGCTGCATGTTTTATTCTTGTTTTCTGTGGTAGTGTCCCATTGGAAATAATTTTGCAGAAGGATTTGTTAGACAGTCCTGTACATTATCAGTAATGTTTTCACCACTGCAGAAAAAGTGAAAGTATTAAGCCACACACTGCAGAGAAGTCATGTAACAAAATGAGATTATTTATTGTACTGTGTAGGTGATGTGCAGTGATACATAAACTACCCTGCCAGGACACTGAAGCCACTACAGCTGTGTTGGCCTGGTACTGGATCATAACATTTCCTTACCCAAACCCAGTAAACAGGATACATTAAGCTCCTAATGAACACAACTCTTGCAATTTAGCTCCATGCTTAAACAGTCATCTCTGTAAAGCTGACAAATCATGAATACACAAGAATAACTAAGAAAGAGGGACTTATTATTCGGCCTTAACTTCTGACCAGAAGACTGAAAGATTATAGAAAATAGTTACTCAAAAAAATGAGCCCAAGGAAAGACAATTCAGGTAAAGAATGCACAGATAGGAGGCTGTAAAGTTATGTGCTAATGATTAGCATCCAAGAGAAAGGTAAGTTAGTGAAGATTGGCTTCGAAGTTGGAGAGCCAAATTGTGAAGCATGAAGGTACAGAGATCTACTTCTTATTCTCAGAGAGTCACTGGGACCCTGGGCAAGGATAAGCTTCAGAAAAGGGCCTGCAAATAGAGTTCAAGGAGGCACCAGTTGCTCTCCTAAGGCAGGCAGAGAATAACAGTTGAGAGTAGAAAGAATGAAAACATCAACAACAATTTGTATCAAGTAGGGTTCTCTTACATCTGTAGATTTGTTTCAGAGGCATAAGAAAACTTGCTGTACAAAAAAAAAAAAGAATAAAGGGCACAGTACACATTTTCCACTGCATTTACATGATTAAAATTTAATTTGGCTGCTTTAATAATGCTCAAACACTGTGCAGTCATTGTGTAGTAAGAAAGATTTAAAAAGTCAACTTCCTGACTTCAGAAAAAAATAGGTTTCTAATACAAACACCTCCTTTGAGGCTGAATCTCCATTACTTATTCTCCAAGTCTATAACACAATATCATTCAATTATTAGTTGCTCCTTCTGAGATCTGACTTAAATACTAAGAGAACTCTGGGGCTTCCTACCTTCTCAATTGTTATTTGTACAGGCTATCCAGAATTATGCAAATAGTCAATTAAGAACATTTTTTCTGCCCAGCACTTCAAATTAAATATTTCATTTTAAAATCCAACCAATCACCTCCATACAAGAACAACCTTACCTTCCTCATCTGACAACTGACATACTATGACCACCTCTGCCTCATGTGTTCCATCTTCTTTTTATGCCAAATTCCTGGTTTTGAATGCAAAGCTCTAAATGAAAAGATATATAATACATAACTCTGGTGGGTTTTCCCCCTTAGTAAACAAAACCAAACATCAGTCAAGGAGTTTCACCAGCTTCCAAATGAAAATGAATTGACATGAAAAAATGGCAAGGAATTTTTTTTTTTTAATAATTTTACAGGAGGGTAAAACAAGCAAGGAGCTCAAGTTTCCCATATACAGAAACAAGAGGGAAAAAATAATGTCAGAATAAACTCTAAGAGGTCAAAAGAAATAGACTTTTAAAAATATGACTGAAAAGTCATATTTATTTTTTAAAATTTTCCCAAGTTTTATGCTAAAGAAATGCTGAGGGGTAAGTGCACCCTGACAAATGTGAACTTTGTACTCATAAATCAAGTAAAATCCCCCTAGTCTTCATTATTGCCTAGAAGCATGTATGAGTACAGCATTTTTCAAACACTGCCTGCAGGTTAAGCTGAAAATGCCTCTGTCCTGAGAGATGACATAGACAGCAAAAGGAAACGTGTTTAGTCAGTGCTGGGTTCTTGGGACACAGATCAGCAGAGACCTTGAAAAATCACTGTCTTCATTTTTGAAGTGGCACTGCTATGACATGAGGGAGAACACAATTTCAGATGCCCAAGGTGAAACTGGCAACTGCTGAACACAATACTAAGAATTTTTCCATCAAATTATCAACACAACACCAAGTCTGAGCTGAACATTAGTTACATGTGGAGCAATCCAAAATTCACCCAGCAAACTTGGATGTGGTTCCTGAATGCCTACCCCAGATATTCTCTTCAAGAAGAATCAGTCATTTGTAAAACTGCCTTTGATCCTTTCGGTTTTGGTGGAGGTTTTTTGTTGGGGAGTCTTTTTATTTGGTTGGGCTTCTTTACATTTTCTTTTGTCCTCGATTTTATGTGAAAAACTCTCTAGAACAGAGCAAGGTCTGAATAATGGTAGCAAAAGTGTTCTAACTAAATCCTGCCATGTTAATAATTTATAAACATCTATGATACCAAGCTACACTTTAGATAATCTATTCCATCACTCCTTTATTCAAATAGAAAAAGTACTTGATTTTAAGCAATTGCTCTCTAAATGGGGAATAAAACACCATGAAGAGTGACTTTTATATGAATCAGCATCATCTTCTAAGCCAAAGGTGGTTACCCATCAACTTGTAGTTCACATCTCTGTTAGGAACTGTTCTTAAAATGCAGCAGCAGGAGACTTTGCTGAAGCCATCACTGTAGAGATGATGGAACTGCCAGTACTTCCCACAAAAACCCACCCATATACCTGGAGCTCCAGCTGGTACTCTGCAAACCAGTTCAAATATATTAACTGCTCATGCAAAATCACTGCATGGGAACGTGAGCACTTGCTAGATAGTTTGTGGCTTTTCAAATCTGGGAGCTTTGCTGAGTTGGGGAGGCAGCAATACAGTGCCAGAATACAACAAGGAGGTGGAGGAGATGCTGTCCAACACACCACCTAATGCAGGAAAGTTGGCTGCTTTCTTCTTGCTGGCATACCATGCACTAAGTAACTATTAAAGCTCATAAGGCGGCAAAGAATACAATCTACAAAATTTCTCAGAAAAAAAAATTACAAATACAAAGAGACATCCAGCACTATTTTGAAAAACATCTTTCTGCCATGTTGCCTATTTTTAATTCTCTGCCTTTCTGTTACTGGTTGCTTCCCCCCTCCTAGTTTACAACATATTTTGGGACTGTCAAAATAAAAGCCAGACCCTGAGTTTCTACCCTGTTCCATGGCAGCAGCCAGCACCAGCTCTGGCCAGACTGGAGGAGAGAAGTTCCCAGTTTGGCAGAAGCCCTTGGTAACACATCAATTGCCAGCTCCATCCTTTTGTGACCATGCAGAAAGCAGGAGCACTGAGCAGTACTGACACCCCTCCAGAGAAGGCACAAACCTGATCCAGGCTGTGAACCAGGGGTGAAACTTTCCTGCTCTGCCACATGAGCTGCTCATTTCAGCACAGCCCATACCTGCAAGTCTTCCTCAGCTCTTGTACTTTTCACAGTTACACCATCTGTACCTAGAATGACCTTTCAGAAAACTCAGCTGTCAAGAAATAGTACAATTCCCTGTCTGTGATAGTTAGAATTGATTTTTATGTTAAGTAAAAGAGAAGTTTTGTTATGTCATTTCAAAATCACTGTAATCATCGGACTGCATTAGGAATAACCAAGTCTGTGTATAATTCTCATTCTGCTGTTATACCAAGCAACAGGAATCTATTACATCAGGAATTAAGAACAGCTTCCCTGTAACAGTTCTGGAGTTGAATGTATTCTCAAATGCATATTTTACTCAGTCTCCTTCCTGGAGACCCAAGAGAATCTCTGAAAACCTAATCACTGAGAAAGGCGTTCCCTTTATTTATGTGACAAGCCAGATGTTCTAGCCTTTTGCCTACTTGTTTCTTAAGGCAAAGAGCTTTTTTTTTTCATTTATTTTAATTAGCTGGTCACATATAAAAGTCACAGGAATGTCATTAATCTACCAGCAACACCAGGTTCCATAATTCATTCACTTTTTTCTCCTGTAAGCAGGCATTTTCTCCATGTCACCTCATTACTCAAGAATCCTTTTCCTAATAGGTTTCTTTAGTGCATCTCATTTTACAGCCCTCTTGGGAGCTCACTGCCCCCTTACAATGCTCAGAGGCAAACGTGCAGGTTCTGTTTTTCCTTAAACATCATCATTAGAATAATTAATGTACAATCAAGCCAACAGCAGTGAAGCTGAAGTAGTATTTACCTTCTTTGAAGCTCTCAGAGGAATAGTGGGGAACCCTGAAAGCTGGAGGAGATGCTGCCTTCTGTCACCAAGGAGAAGGTACACACACTATCAACAAAGTTAAAGGTAACGAGCACAGTAGAGAGTTGGACAAAACTGCTCATGCTGTGAACAGCACCTATCACCAGAGGGAGCCATGTAAAAGCACAGTGTCATGGCTAGAGACTGAAACAGAAAAATCTTTTTTTTTTCCTTTCATGGTTGGTTAGTGGAGTTTCTTTTTGTTTTTTAACCATTCAAGCTTGGTCTCAGGGGCCTGTAAAACTTTCACATTTAAAGGCAAAATTGAACTCAGAAAACACAAACTGTTTTACATAGTTACCACTTACTTGGAATAGACAAAATTAAGGTTTCCTAACCCATCTGAACAACACAGACAAAAAATTCCAACACTACAAAATTTGCTCTTTTGAAACAGCTTCCACTTTACCTGGGCCTTTAAGCTTTTCACAGTTTTCTTAACAGATAATAAGTAGTGAATAACATGTCTTCTCTTCAACACTCCTCTGCATGATTTTTTCAACTAGGAGGAAATTAAATTGTTAAATCTTTCTATTTTAATGTTTTACTCAAATGCATTAAAGAAACAGCCTGGAGCCTATTTGAATTCAGCTTTTCAGGGTCCTTCCCCACTGAAGAGGGTTTTTATTGTGTTTAATTTTAATTACATTAAAAATCTTCTAAAAATCCAACATTCTACTTAAATCTCAATCCCCTTAAGTTACATACTACTGATTTGTCACCAATCTAGAGATTCCAGTTTTCAAAGCTTTAATTTTAAAGAAATTATCTTTGTATTTAAATGTATGAAACTAAGCATTGACTAAGGCTATATACCACTGGGATTCTGAAGCTTTAACCCAACTAGCCTCTCATCACCAATATATTCCTAGAATTCTCTTCTGAAAAGAAAAATGAACATTTGCCAAAAAGAAATTGTATCAAAAAGGGTTAGAAATAAATAAGGCATGAACTCACCTCAATACTGGCCAAGTATCTTTTCTGCATGACAGTGCTCATATTGAATTTTATATACACTCACTTAATTGTGAGTACTCACAATCACTCTCTTCTGTGCTTCATCATGCACCTGGACTGAGTTAGGGAGAGAGAGAGAGGACAAAGATTGGGAGTCATTCTTTATGCACACCAACCTTTAAGGTGTGAAACCTTGACTGAGAAACTCCATCGTTAATGGAAAAGATATTTTATCCGATTTTTGTCTCTCTCTTTTTATAGAGATTCAAAAAAAGGAAGTTAGCAAGTTTAAGAGTTCATCCAAGAGTTTCAACAGGATAAAACTGCTTGGTACTTCTATGCAGAAGTCCAATTTCATATTCCACATGCTACTAAAGAGTGTTTTTAAGGCTAGCACAGTTAAATAGTTACGGAATATTAAAGCACACAAGGAGTGAGAGTGATTGGTTCTATCACCAAAATCAGTCACAAGTTAAACTCCTGGTTTTTTGTTAGTATGATGCCACATCAAAGGACAGATGAATATCTACTGAAATGGCCCTTCTCTGGCACAGCAGGGACTCTGATTGTGGAGACAATGCAAGTACCTCAGAGGGAGCAAAAGAGAATGGGCAAAATGCTTATTGGAAAATGTAAATAACTGAGAAAAAGGCTCACACCAGCACAGAAAAAGAGTACTGGTAAGGCAAGAACACTTTTCCCAAGCAAAATGAAAGAGATTAAAAATTGTTAATCTCTTAGGATTGGAAAAGTAAATTTATGCATACACATGGACCCAGAGGAGAAATCCCATCATTCAAACAGAATTTTCACGTGTATTTTCAGCACATGCACAAAAACTTGGTAAAGCTCAAAGAAAGCTTCTCAGCACATAGAGAAGGAAGAACCAATTTTTCCAATATTTCTTAGTTAAACCAACTCAGAATTTCATCCTCACTGCGAACCACTTCCTCTGAATCTGAAGATGCTTATGGCATCAGATTACAGCACTTCAAAGAGCAGAAAGAAAAAAAAAAACCCAACCTACCCAAGCAACCAGCCTTGCAAGTGAAAATAAGAAGTTAGCAGTCAGACAGCAAAAACAAGCAAGAAGTACAAAGAGTTAGACCTCCTCGAAATATAATAAGGATTTGTGTCAGATCTCACCTCACACTTGAGTAATATAAGAATTTCTAGAAATAACAGCTTTGAGATTCACCAGGCAAAAAAAAGTTAATTATTCTCTTGATTGGATTTTATTTTCTTAATCTCATTATGCTTTTTATCAAAATATGAAACAGTGGAAGAGTCAAAATCCCTCTCCTGCTGAGTTTCATGTCAAAAATCAACATGTGCTGCCCTCACAGCAGTGCACAAGATTTCCATTCCTATATGGTACTGGCAGAGATGAAGACACACCCTGGGATCTATTTCACAGTTTATCAAGTGTGGCATGAGGTTAAATATTTCACCAGGAAACCGTAAGTACTTTCATAAAAGACAGAAATAACTTCAAGATATAAAATGCAGAGAGGGACAGAGAAAAATCAGTAAGATCAGCTTATAATTACACTGAGCATTGTTTTTGGTAAAGTTTTGTTGCTCATATCTGCAGAAAAAGAGATATTAGACTGGCAACCAGAACTAAAAGAGAAATATGGTACTGTATTTAACAGGAAAGATACACATAAGAAAATAAGAGAAAGCTGCAAACCCCGCCTTGTTCATGTACCTATCAAACTTGTGTATTCCACTAAATATTGCGAAAACGCTTTATTGTCTTAAGCTTAAAGGAACTAAAAAAAATTTTAAAAAAAACCTACCACCAATAGCAAAAACTTGAACAGTGAGTGCAAACAATGTTGCTCCTGAAAGCCTGGAGATTCATACTGGAAAAAAGTCATACAGGCTCTGAAATTGTCCTTGTCTGTCCCTGACCCAAATCTATATATTTCCTATTGCATAGCTTCTCATAGAGGCTACAGTAGATGAATTTGGATTCAGAAAAAGAGGGAGAGGAGTATGTATTGAAAAAAAAAGAGAAGGGAAACACTTCAAAGGAACATTTCCTCTATACAATTGCTCACCCTTTTTTAAAGGTGGTAGAAGTTAAATTGCAACAGAAAAATTGCATAGCAAAAGTTGAAGTGACAAAGAAGGATAAGTTAAAATTTCTTTCCTGATCTACCAACTAGTGCTATACACATCCATACTAAATTTCTGCATAGTTCCTGTACCTATGAAAGTTTTGCAGAAAAATTCAGATTTGAAATAGCTAAAGTTGTTACTATACTAACAAACTTCAGCCATGCTTCTCCATGCAGAATACCCCTCAGAATTGCAGTCACAGAAGCCCACCTGCATGTTTGTTTGCCCCTCTAATAACCAACATGATTATAAACAGCTGTAAGTAATTACATTCATTAACATTATACTCTACATGACATGAACCAAGTCTAAACTGCTGCAGTAAATGCTCTGGGTACAAAGAAATGCAAGAGCAAAAACTGATTCCCCATGAGAGGGCACAGCCCTTGTGATTGTGCACAGCTCATGCGGGCAGGGAGGCTGTGCAGACACAAACAAAATATTTATATGTGATTGTGGCAAGAAGGAGTTTGAGGAAGCTGGGCCTGCAGGAACAGAAAAGGAGCAGCTGACAGACTTTCCAGGAAAATTGAGTCCTAAACTGAGAATAAACATAGATATTAAGCACAAGGGTAGGAAATTCTCTAGGTTATCTCCCTACTTTGTGCTTTCTTTACAAGCAGAACTCAATGAATGGTAATCCATTTGCACCATCCATCTCCTTTTAAGACAAATAACCTGCAGCCAATTTCATTGCTCCAAACCTCCTACAGCTCAGACTTGGACAGAGCATCAGAATGCAGAATGGTGTGCACTTTATTTGTATAAATTCTCCACACTCAGTATTTCAATGAGAAAGAAAATCTATTATGTACTTGTCTGCAGCCTGTACCGACATCACATCCAGTCAGATTGGCTGCTCTTTATGTAATCCTTCATCAAGAAACATTTTTGAGCTAGAACCTTTTAAAATCTGAAATCTTTCTCTCCAAAGGCAGCTTGAAAGAACTAATTAAATCATTTCAGTCACACAACCAAGGTGGAAGGGCACACCCAAAACTATATTTGCATAAAAGCACTGGCATTTCTGTTTTCTTTTGAGAGGGCATCTTTTGTATCAACTCCAGCTCCCTGCACCAAGAATAAAGGAAAATTAACACTCTATTCCTCAGTGCATTACCTTTCACTCTCTATTGAGACACAGATTTAGAGCCACTGTTCATATGCACAATCTCCCTGCCACAAACAGCTGTCCCTACTAATGCTTATCCCTCACAAGGTTGGATAGACAGTGTCACATTTCATCATTTTCACCAAAGGAAAGATTGATTGTTCTTCATACCTTTTAGATGTCACTGAACCAGTCAGCAAGAATTTGCAAAGTTGTGTCCATATTACTTCTGACACAAATGAATTTCTTCATTTTAACACTCATCCACTCGAAGAACTGTTGAAATACCTCCTGAGTCATCTGCTTCAGAATCTTGACCATACATCATCTCCAGAGAAGCTGTCAGCTCCTGTGTGTCAAGTGAATCAAAGAAAAACAGGTTTGCATACCTGATTAATTCTGTGACCACATATAATCTACTAAAATCAAGATTTATTTATCACAGAAAAAGCACTATTTACTGGCGTAAAATTTCTTTTGCTACAAAAGTCTCTTCCTGTATCCAGTGAAGAATATTTTACTTTATTTTACATTCCACTTTCTTATGAGATCAAGTGCTAGTACGTCTACTAGAAAATGCAATGCAGAAAAGGATCTCACACATAGATCATCGACTCTAATTTTTAAACTGAAAGCATGGAAGAAAAATACACCACAAAAAGCTTAACAGCTCATAAGAAGTTATTTGTATTCTTGTTACTTCTCCCCAATGGACTTGGTCCTGCTCATCAGGATAAAGAGCCAAATGGAGTTCAATTTATAATGCTCCTCAGACAACTACTCAAACTCAGAAAAAAATATCAGAAAGAGAAAACAAAGTGAATTTGTATTAAGAGGCAAGGTGAGCAGCCAAGGAATGCTTCTGAATGTAAAGCCTTTTGACCCTTGAAATGCAGAGGTAAGAACAACCAAGTGGAAGACCAAAACCACCACCAGAGGCTGGAACAGCAGTGGCCTCCCCTTTCTGAGGGCTGCAGGTGTCGTGGAGATGAGGAAGTGAGTTTAACCAGTTTTATTTAACCAGTTTTGTAGAACTATGTGTGATGCTGCCACAACCTGGACTGGCACTACAGACACACCACAGCAAAAATTCAGACTGGGGCCAAAATAATAATAATTTCCTCACATTGTAATTACTGAATACAGTGGGGGAAAAAAAACCACCAGAACAAACAGTATTTTATTAAAATTATAAACCTGCTTTCATAAGAAGAGCTGCTACAATGAGCAGCATTCATTCCATACAATCAGCTGTTTAAACAGCAATTTTTAACTGAGCCAAGTGGCATGAGCTTTGTACAAATATGCCTCCCTTTAAGTAAGTACCAGGAAGAGGTTTGTGCTGTATTTATGGAGACTATTTAAATAATTCATTTGCATTTTCTTAACAGCTGGGATTCAATACACCAGGATATACATGGGTAGAAAATGCAGGGCAAGGTAATAGCCAGGTTCAAATGGAACACTCTGAAGGAGAGAGAAAAAAAACCAGCCCATTTAACAGCAGCCTAAAGTGGGTAACAGAGCAGGGAAAAGTGATCAGTAACAGTTTAATATCCAATATCACACACTCTGTTTACAAAAATAATGGCACTAGTCACACCAGAGGAGTATCTGCATGTATTCCACCAGGCTGTCCTCAAGGAAAGAATCCTGTATGTCCTATGTATTCCCATTTACTTTTCATACTACAAACACATTTCTGTGAAACACTGGCAATTTCACCAGCATGAGCATGCAGAAGCAGGTTCCAGCACCTAACAGAAGAGAGGACCATCAAACCCTGTTAAGCTAAATCTCAAAATTGAATCAACACACTTACTAGCAGTATTTCAGTACCCCTTCAAATATTTGCAAAACACTGTTAAAATTTCTCTGCTGCACAGTTAGCTAGAAAATGCTTAATGCCTACCACCTAGTGGATTTTCACAGCATAACCTCTGAGCATGCACACAGAGAAAAATACCCAAACCAACTCTAAAACAGAAAAATACCTACCAACAATACATCACTTTTCTCCATCTGAAGGAGCAGGATGCTCACAGCGCTTTCAGTAATAAAGAACCATGGAATGCTACCTATCCACTATCTTTTCCAATTAGTCACCAATCTGCATCTCAGACCATTTAAAAAATATAAGTGTATAAAACACTTTTTAATGACATTGAGAAATTAATCTATTGGAAATTGAGTAATTCCATGAAAATTTAAATGCTTCAATTCATTACTACTGCTCCAACCTTACATAAACTTATGTGCAGACTGTAACCTTAGTGATTATTCATAAGAATTCAATCTCATATATATGTGGATGAATAAATCTCTAGAATTTATACAGACAAGCTGCCCAGCTATCGGCAAAATGTTCCCTCTCCACACACACTTGCACAGTCAAAATTAAGGGCAGTAATATTTCTGAAGTAAAAAAGAAGAAAACATATTATTTCTAATAGTAAAAGCCAGTAAAATTTGTATTGGCAAAGTCCTCTGTAAAAGTTCTTACTGCCACTATGGAGCCTATTTCCCCATCTATATCCCTACTTTCTGTTGTTGGGTTGGCTGGGAGGAAAAGAGACTCTTGCAAGGGAAGCATATAATTCAACAAACCAACCAACACAGTACCACAATTTACAGGGTAAATGCATTGACTTTTTAATTGCAGGTTCGCTCATTAACACTTGACTTATAAATATTCTGCTCTTGGTGAAGTCTTGTCAGTCACCAAACACAATACCATAAAAGAAAAGCTACTGCTCAAATCCAGGATCTAGACAATAATTCCCCTCTGGAAACAAAACATCTAGGAGACCAGGATCAAAAGTTCTGTTCAGAGCTAGCAGTGTCAGCTGAATGCCTTCACTTGGAAATGTAACCCAGAGCTTCATCTGCTGCTGCCAGGTCTCCAACTATAAAATGTTTCACATTGAGCAAACACCCTCAACAGATTCTCAGTGTTTCAAAATCAATTTTGATCAGAGCAACTTCCTCACCTGTAATGGTCTTGAGTGCTCAGAGAGAGGTGGTTGATCCACTTCAAAAATTAATTCTGTCGCTGCTGAATACAAATTCTGCTGCAGCTCATCTCACCTGATAATCAATTCATCTCTTCCTTCCTATGCAGAAGGAAAAGCAAGTCAGAAACTCTCACCCAAATAACCTAGAAACTGATACCAAAAAAGCATTAATCCTTGTGAATAACACATAACACAATACACACCTGATGAGAATTCAGTGAAAAAGCAAATTTTTTAAACTTCTGCTCCTATGAATTGACTGCCGTTCTTCACAGAGTAAAAACATGACTATATGATCAGACAACTAAAGGAAGAGTTTCTGCATGACTGCTGATAACACTGTGAGTCTTAACTGGCACTGAAAAGTTAAAATGTCCTAGCTGTCCTCCAGTTTTTTATTATATTACAGAATTTAAAATTTGGATTATCCACATGTCCATACATCCGAAAAATATCCACAAAGTCAGACTACAAAAGGTTTCTTGCTGGAAAAGAATTCTCTAGAATAAAAAGGAATCCTTGCCTTCTAGCAGGAAAAGCAGTTGCCCTGTGAACTCCCTACTGATTATCAGCAGAAAGGTCATTAAACTAAAGATCATTTTCTAGAAACAAAAACCAATAAGCTTCCTTGAATCACTGGCAGGATTAGTTAGAGGAACCCCATATTCATATCAGACAACTTACCTATAAGACTCAGCAAAAAAACTTTTGAAATGGATGAAGAAAATTAAAAATCCATACTCAGAAGCAGGCTTGCAACATCCTTTCACTGTGACTTAACCCAACATGCCCACAGAAATATTAAAATATATATGAACATGGAAGACCAACATATAGCTTTACAGACTTGCTGTAAAGATTTGATATTCCCTTCTATATTCATCTCCAAAAATAAAAAGGTAAGTAAAATGATTGAAATATCTCTAAGACACGTGTTCTCTTCCCTACCATACATACACACTTGCCTCAAAATCTTGGAAAGTCCAGTGTGGAGGGAAATTAGTGAGGCAAAAAAGACACAACAGAAGAGTTACTAAGAGTTTCA